GACCATTTTGACCGAGTAGCCTGAGTACAGCACTTGGATCTCGTACCGGAGTTCGCGATATTTGGTCCGCTTCTCCTCTTTCTTCAAGGTGATGTTTATCTTCGCAGGTGCCGAGAATTCGATGACATACAACACCTTAAGTTGATGGTCCAGGAGAACTATGGCAGGCTTGTTGGCTTGGATTGGCCTAACCGTCGGGATCGAGTAGTTCCAGTAAATCCGACATTTCTCGTTTTCCGGTACATCAAGGTGTTGATAACACCATCCAGGCAAGCCATAATGAATCCTTCGATCTCCGACTTAAGCCCTGCTGACCTTAGAAAAGCGAATGTCAGCCTGGTCAATAAAAACACGTTGTTGCTATGTTCTTAAGGAAAACACCATGCTAGAGTTTATCGACGTGCTGCCGAAAAAGTTTTTCCATTTCGGCAGTTCCAATTTGGGCTTTCAGGCGATTTGGTCGAGGCTCTGTGACTGACTCTACAGCACCTCGCCGGACACCTCGCCTGGTGTCGAATGTGAGACCGAGTTCACCTGCAGCTCTTTTTGCTGCCTTGGACAATCCTGCTCCCACTTCTACAAATTCGTGATGTTGTACAAACCTCATGAGGGAATCTGAGCTCCTGAGAATGTTACATGTCATACTCAATATTACTGTTTCTTGCGGACACTCCAGGCTCAAGAGTCCTCGGCCCTCCCGTTGACGTGGTAGGTACACACGAAGAACGGACGATCTAAGATGAATATTCTTCATTTTGCGGGTACCTCTGTCTAACTGGCGCAGCTCGTCTACCGTCCACTTCACTACTCCAAGGGAATAGAGCAGAACCGGTACGGCAAGCATGGTAGTAGCAGATACCTTGTTCTTCCCCGAAAGTTCAAATCTTTTAGAGGTGGTGTTTGTATTTGCCGCAGAGAGAATCCTTTATTTGTTTTACGTTCTGGATGTGCCTTTGTTGCACACCCAGATATGTAGGTCTCACCGGCATCCAGATGTCTTAGGATGCTTCCGCCTGAGAGTCACGCATCTTCTGGGAATTCCCCGTATCGTCCTCTTTTGAGGTGGAGGACTGCAAATTTTTTCAACCCAAACTTCATAATAATTGTCCACGTGTATCGACCACCCTAAGAGCGTTTTGTAGTTCGCGCTCTCCGAAGGCATAAAGTTTACGGTCATCCATGTAAAATAGATATCCGCAGGTTTGGCGAAGTTCAACAGACAATAGCAGCAATGAAATGCAGAAGAGAAGAGGACTCGGGGAGTCAACCTGGAAAATCCCTCTCTTAAATGCCACACCAGTTCTGTCATAACCCGCTGTGCACCTGCTGTTATGGTTAAGCAAGTCTTCCTATAACATTGTTGTATCATTATTGTAATATATTTAATATATTCCCAATATAAATGAAATATCCTTAATAAGTCATAAATGTATATAATAGGCAATAAAGAATTTTAATTGGAAATTGGAATTGGAATCTTCCATCTCACTAGTGGTGCTATGCATCTCACTAGTGGGCTGGTACCGCAAGTGTAAGAATAGTATTTGACGCACGACAAAACTTTTTAAAAATTTCTACTTTCACGACATTGTATTAAACATTTTTCTACCAAAATAGAATTAAATTAATTGTACTTCTAGTCGTTATATTTTCAAGGGTACAATCTTTGGCTCAATCAGTTTACCTAAGCGTATTCCAAAATTCAATAATGTTCTAGATGTACGCAGAGAATATTTTGTTCATCTATGAGGCTGGTTGCTCTATTTCCATAAACAAATCAACACGATTATTTAAAATGTTTACGCCAACTGGGTTCCCACCAAACATAGTTATGCAAATTCCATGACTTTCCAAATTTTCCACAACCAAAGCGATATGAAATTCCATGATATTGGCAAAGTTGAACAAATATTTACAAACAAATTATGTCACCTTGTGACTGTATTTAGTGTTTTCACAATCACAATGTATTTTTGAGCAACATTATGTATTTACTTATTTCTCGTAAATAAACTGTTATTTATTATAAACTATAAACAAGCAAGATAATTCTAATAGAGAACCTACGTTTAACCACATGCAGAAAACAAAAAAAAGCATATTTTTTTCTGGAAATTTTGATTTTTATGTTTTTGGAGGTAGAAACAGAGGCAATATTCGTATTTAATTTACAATTTCAAAACTCGTCAATTAATTTCATGCACATTTATTAATATTAACAATGGCCATTTATTCGAAAATGTATACAGAATGTATACAGAATGTATACAGAATGTATGCAGAAAATTAGCCTGACAAATTTGGTTGCATTTTTATCATATTAACTGAATTAAAATTGTAATAATCTTTTCGAAGTACCAATGAAATATCTCAAAATGCACATTTTTCGTATAATAGAAAGTCACTAAAGCGATAAATCAATATGAAGTAGCCTGTCCTAATACCCGCTTGGAAGAAAATGGTGGACATTTTCAACAAAATTTGAATCGTTTGTATTGTTCCCATTAAAATTAGAAATTAATTATTTAATCACGTTTTTTTTAATTGGAAGAAAATATGTATTATTTTAATACTTTTGAAATACCTCGAATGTTAGCATAAACGCAAACGGCCGCCAGACGACGCACTTAATAGACGGGCAAAAAGCCAATTATTTAGCTGACCAATTTGAATCAATACACAATCAAAATTACCCAAATAACGAGGATCACGACCGCATCGAAAATACAATTTCCAAATATACGGTCATGGAGTGCAAATTTCTATGACGCGACAGCAAACTTTAGCAACCATGACCACGCCCGCGGAGCTGAAAAAGCCTATTAGGTTTCTCGCAAACAAGAAAGCGCTGGGATCGGACGGTATCGATCTTAAGATACTTAAAAATCTGCCGAGAAAGGGTACTGTCCAACTTACGCACATCATCAATAGCATTTTTCGTCTGCAACACTGGCCTAGCCAATGGAAGAGTGCAGTAGTGTGATATCTTGAAGCCGAACAAAAATTCGAAAACGGCTTCTAGTTACCGTCTGATATCTTTACTATCGGCGGTATCTAAACTGGTTGAGAAGGTCGTCCTGAAGCGGCTAAACACTGCCCAGGACGATCTTGAAATCAGCGATGATTTTCAGTTCGGTTTCAAGAAGGGACGCAGCACAACTCTGCAGATCGTCAATGATGTCAAGCGACAGAATAATCTCGACAAGAGCACCGCCATGGTGCCCTTAGATATTGAGAAAGCATTCGATATCGTCTGGCTTCCCGGTATCATAATATATAAACTGCACCAGTACGACTTTCCGGGCCATTTAACGAAATTGATACACTCTTACGTGCACGGCCGAACGCTGCTAGTGAGAGTCAACAAAACTCTATCAACAAAGAGGGACATTAGAGCAGGCGTTCCGCAGGGGTCGGTTCTTACGCCAAAATTATATAACATATGCGTGTCCGACTTTCCGGAGTTCCCGAACACCAACATTGCGATGTACGCCTACGGTACCGCTATATACTGCCACAGTCACCATGCTCAGGCCGCTGGGCAGCTGATAAAGACGCACATGATACGGGCATCGTTAGGCGTAACTTTGGATAAAGGACTTTATTTTGAAAAACACGTTTACGAGACGATACGTAAAGTTTATTCTCTGTCAAGGACTCTATACCCCATGATGGCGGGGAATAGCAGACTAAACAGAGATAATAAAAAAAATAATTTATACGATGAGTGAGACCTGCCTTAGTATATGCTGCGCCGACCTGGTGTTCTGCGAGCGCGACGACGGACGTTACACAAATTGCAGGTACTGGAAAACAAAATTCTTTCGCCTCATAAAATATACCCCCATAAGGGAATTAAGACAACTTTGCAACGACACTGTACCCATAGTGGATTATATCAGAGATACATCACAAAATTTTTACGAATTTAAACTCGTCCACCAACCGCCAACATTACACAAATAAGGGAGTACAACGCGCCATTCCGATTAAAACACAAATTACCGTACCAAACGTTACCAATTTTCAGACAACGTCTTTAGACCATGCTCCTCTCACAAAATGGGAGGACACTCCCACATAATAAAAGGGGTATTAAAATTCCAAATTTTATTCTCACTTCTCTTATTTTCTTTTTGTTCATTTTTGTTATCAAAATTACCCACAAGATTTATTCCAAATTATAAGCTAACCATCAATAAATTGCGGCACATCATATACACGAAATATCATTAAATACCCAAAAATAAGCGGAGTTAGACATTCTCGCTTCCAAATTCAGTATAAGGTCAGAGGTGAGCTTTTTACTGTGACAGTTTGGCTCGTCGGAGCATCGTCAAAATTCAAAATTATTACACAAATTTATACAATTTTATATATTCTTTTTGATTGTTTTAAAGTTTTATATCAACGGCGCATGCTTTTGCATGCGTCATTGATTTCTCGTTTGCGGCGGTAATATACAATTTAAAAATTTTCTTTTTTTTAGGTGTTATATTTTTGTTACTGTTTTAGTTTTAAGTCCGGACCGGTCCCGCTCCGCACGACCTAACAATTTCCCCGTCGCCACCTTACGCGGGGATGCTAGGTCGGAAAACGGACCGGGTGTTCGGCGAGGGCCATATACATTGTTTTCTTTAATTGTTAATAAAATTGTAAATGAAGTGAGCAATGCAGCGACATATGGGGAAAATGCGAAAGTCATGTTATACAAAAAGAAAAGAGTATCCTATTTTGTATTGTACATACATATAAACTCATATAAAATAGTAAAAAAATATGGATTTATTTTAAAGAATTAAAAGATAATTCTAAACCTTTTTGGTCGACGCTCATGGATATGACAAAAATTCCTGTTGCTGACATTTTTATGCTGTTCAAATTCATATTGGAAACACTATACCCCTCGAAGCAACTTGTACGGGCGGGAGCTACATATTTAGAGACAACGAATACGCACCCAATATTCGAGGGTGCTAGAAATAATGTCTGCTTTAGATCAGCTTCCCGAGAGAGGATCGAACCTCGTACTCCGGCGTGAAAGGCAAGTGTCCTTACCATTCGACCACGAAGCCATGTAAGTGGGTGGGGTAATTTTACGAAAATTACTATAGTAAATATAATGCAAAAAATAAGATTTTGTATACGAGAAAACTAAGAAGCAAATTCCATAACTTTGGCAGAGAATTATACCAGTTTCCCAACTTATTGAATTTTATTCAAATTCCCAGACATTCCACGACTTTTTTGGACTATTCTAAATTCGCGACTTTTAAAGGATGTCAAGTTTGGTGGAAACCCTGGCCAACTTTATGTTTCAGGCTAAATTTGGTGATTCGGCTGTTTTTTATGATAATGGTTAAGGAAACACTAAAATTAGACGGCTTTCCTCGTTCAATTAAAGAGTAAAATTAAATATACACAGATAGTAACATCATGTTAAATTTTTTCACTTTAAAATCTGAACCCCAAAATGTATATCGTTGTGAGAAGTAATCTTATTTAGGATTTTCTTAGTTTAGTAACTGTAAATGTTATAAAATTGTTTATTGTGTATTTATCTATACATATTTTCAATGTACCTAATCCTGTAATTGGGCTCCTGCCTGTTGGATTTTGTATTTAAATAAAAAATAAAAATAAAAAATAACAGACCATTTGTATGCATTTGTTATATTAAAATTGACAATACCGTAAATATACGTAGTTAGGTCAATATAGAAATTTTGGGATCCGGGATTTGGAGTAATAATTATTTACATAAGGATAGACTATCTATGTATATTAAATCTATAGATATACGTAATCTAAGATTAAACGCTGTTAATTTTTAATTACCGCATTAGATTGCAAGTAGAACTTACTACATTTACAGCATGATTGAAAAGCAAATTGTAGTATTAAGATTTCAGATGTTTATTACATTAGTAGACGAAAAAACAGCCACCGTTCAATCTCAGTTGAAACCGAGACAATTTCACTCTTCTCTAGCTCTTCATTCAATTTAATAGTCCCCCACACACCAGCGGATAAATTGACCGACTTGATCCGCACGGATTTTATCGGCGAATCAGGCTCGGCACATACCAAATCCGTCCTTACTTATACGGTTCGAAGATTTGACCTCCCGATTGGATCTGTCAGTTAAAGTTCGCTCGTTAGTGGTACAAAACCCATCACCTTATAACAGTTTTTACTCGGCTCGTTAAAAATTCTTTTTCCCATATAGAGCGTATCTGAAGCCATTATTATTTAGGTACAAATTTGAAGGTTTAACTCGTTCATCGCCACTAACTACCACATTGGAACTGTCAAGTTAAGACTTGCAGACTTAGTCGGTGCGATATGGGAATTGGACCGATGTACCTCGGCTTGTCACACTAACGCAAAGTTTTATCCGCTGACTTAGCCCATGCCGCATTAAATCGGTTGGCCATCCGCTGGTGTGTGGCGGGCTAATAAGTCGTGATTTCCCTCACAAAGCTCCTACAATTCCTCAATTTTCTTAAAACTAATAAACAGTCCCCCACACACCAGCGGATAAATTGGACCGACTTGATCCGCACGGATTTTATCGGCGAATCAGGCTCGGCACATACCAAATCCGTCCTTACTTATACGGTTCGAAGATTTGACCTCCCGATTGGATCTGTCAGTTAAAGTTCGCTCGTTAGTGGTACAAAACTCATCACCTTATAACAGTTTTTACTCGGCTCGTTAAAAATTCTTTTCCCATATAGCGCGTATCTGAAGCCATTATTATTTAGGGTACAAATTTGAAGGTTTAACTCGTTCATCGCCACTAACTACCACATTGGAACTGTCAAGTTAAGACTTGCAGACTTAGTCGGTACGATATGGGAATTGGACCGATGTACCTCGGCTTGTCACACTAACGCAAAGTTTTATCCGCTGACTTAGCCCATGCCGCATCAAATCGGTCGGGCCATCCGCTGGTGTGTGGCGGGCTAATAAGTCGTGATTTCCTCACAAAGCTCCTACAATTCCTCAATTTTCTTAAAACTAATAAATAGTCCCCCACACACCAGCGGATAAATTGGACCGACTTGATTTGCACGGATTTTATCGGCGAATCAGGCTCGGCACATACCAAATCCGTCCTTACTTATACGGTTCGAGGATTTGACCTCCTGATTGGATCTGTCAGTTAAAGTTCGCTCGTTAGTGGTACAAAACTCATCACCTTATAACAGTTTTTACTCGGCTCGTTAAAAATTCTTTTCCCATATAGCGCGTATCTGAAGCCATTATTATTTAGGGTACAAATTTGAAGGTTTAACTCGTGCGTCGCCACTAACTACCACATTGGAACTGTCAAGTTAAGACTTGCAGACTTAGTCGGTGCGATATGGGAATTGGACCGATGTACCTCGGCTTGTCACACTAACGCAAAGTTTTATCCGCTGACTTAGCCCATGCCGTATCAAATCGGTCGGGCCATCCGCTGGTGTGTGGCGGGCTAATCTCTAGGAGAATTCGAATAAATAATCCATTGTTAAATTCAGTAGCATTAAATTGAAAAACGCCCATGCAACTAAAGTATCTGATGATTCGCCATTATTTTTCCTTGTTACGAATTCCCTAAATTACATTCGTATTTATTTTGTGAATGTGTATTGTCTCTGAATGCGACAAAAAATTATTTTAACAGAAATTGTAAACGTTTACACTAAATCCCCAAAGCGAATCTATTTATAGATGTACGTACATCTAGTACGAGCAGAAACTCATAAAAATACTATTATATGGAATAATTTTTAATACCTGGCCCTGCAAGTCAATATGACCTCAACCTGTACTCTTAATCTACGGAGAAGGAAGTGAAGTGACATAGACCATGTAAGATACAACAAATCTAACCTCGAATTCTTTTCATATGTTGGCTTGTGCATTTCCTAGGAAATATGGACTATATATTTTATAGTCCAAGCGCTCATAACGAATTTTCGGTGTGTTTGATTTAACTTGCAATTTTTTTAAAGTAGTTCCTTTACGATAGATAAATAAGGCACCGAAGCTTTGGCTGACTGTTTTGGGACATGAGGAACTGCGCATAGAAAAAATTTGCACAAAAATATTTCCCAAGAAAAAAGTTTGATTCGCGACCAAATTACAAGTTAATTTTGAACATAAAAATAAACACCCCAGACGATTTAGGTGGTGCTGTCATAGAACCAAATTGCCCCAAAATTGTATTTCAAACTTTTTTTTGGCAAATATATTTATAAAAATTTTTTGCATGCGCAGTCATATCCCAAAGTCAGCCAAAGCTTCGGTTCCCTATTTATCTATCGTAAAGGTACCTACTACCGTACAAAATTGCAAGTTAAATCAAACAATTACCGAAAATTCGTTATGAGCTCTCAGACTATTATGCTTATGGCGGATACTTTACTCCTGAATCGAGGCCGATCTTACGGCTTTATATCTAAAGTTATCATGTTATCAATCAATATGTGACCTTCCTTATTCAAACAATTCAAATCAATTAATTTCTTTTTAAATTTATTACGGTATTAAAAGTACATTTTATTTTAAAAAAATCAGAGCTTTTTACAACATTGTATCTAGAGTTCTTAAATGTAAAAATTACCTGTCATTAGGGGTGTAATATTTTATATAAAACTTTTCCACTGCTACCAACATCGGATAAGTAAAGAATGCTCCATTTTAAGATTTTCACCGACGAGGAATTTTAATAAACATACTTCTTCACGGGTTGCCTTCCTATCCTTAACAATACTACTGTTAATGTAAAAGCTGTGCAAACAATTAATAAATAAGTATACGCAGTAAAAGTTACCCTTTTCCCCCTACATCGGCCGTAATTAATCTATTTTTTAAACAGGATGAGTTTTCAATTCATCAATTTTAACGAGAAAGGATCCGGACAGATGCCAAGATACATGTTTAAAGGATAATTATTTTCAAACAATGAGAAACTGTACGAAAGCCAACGTATAAATTTCATGAAAGGAAACGAATCAATCACATGTCGACGGAAAAAACCTGGATTTTATTATCCTACACGCACCATTATTCAAAAAATACTGACATACGAAGTATTGGAAATAATACAAAACACATGAATAAAGATACCGAGCTAAAAAAAAAGTAATAATGAGTATCAAGTACAAAATAAAATTATTTTTTTAATATACAGGGTGTCAGGGATATGCAAATACTTGGTAGGTGGATTCTTTTAGAAAAACTAAATAAGGTTTCTCATATAAACTTTTTTTTTTAAATTAGCTCCACCTGGCATCAAAAACATCGTTTTAAATTCATTTATCTACTTTAAATTTTATTTAAATATTATTTATTATTTTTTAAAATCAATTCAACTCGGGGGAACTAAAATTTAGTGAAGAGTTTTTACTCATAAAACATTCCTGTGAAGGTATTTTCATTCACCCAATATTCTTGTAAGCGAATGAAATAAACCACCCATGATATCCCAAACAGAACTTTTAATGGATGCAAAATTTTATGAGAAAAACTTTAATAGAAACTGATTTATTAACAAATTTTGTATCTTGCAAAATTCATGTAAATGAAAACGTATTCGAATGGTAAATAAGATAAGGAACAATCAATAAAAATAAAGTTAATAAACGATAAAGACTTTATTACCCTTTATTTTTATTAATAATTGTTTCTTATCGTATTCGTCATTCTGTTAATCCAAATAACATTATTTGTAATCTGAATAAAATTTATGAACATATAGACAACAATTTTGTAGCAGCTTTCTCTGTATAATATTGTAAATAATCCAAAATTTATGTAATATCAAATATGTTCGAGTTACAAGAATTTTGCAAAAGACAAAAAGAATAAATCAGTTTCTCTAGTGAAGTTTTTCTTTTACAAATTTGTAATCGCTAAAAAGATTTGTTTGAAAAACTATAAGGGGTGACGGTATATTTTGTCCCTTTAAGAGAAGACGCGATGAAGGAATACTCTCACAGAAATATCTTCTGAGTAGAAACTGTATCAAATTTTATTTTTCCACATTAAATTAATCTTACGAGAAGAATACTAAGTTTCCCAG